AAATGCTTTGTTTCTGAACGAATCAGTCGTTTGAATGAATCGGTTGAATCTCAATGACTCGCTGATTAACAGTCACTTGCTGTCACAATACTGGCGGTTTTAATTTCACATTTCGACTGTTTTTTTCCATGTTTTAAATTATTTCAAATATCAGTATTCAACGTTTTATGTTAAAACCAAAACATTAGGCCTATTTATGCATCTGTAACTGCAGTTTAAATGTATATATGTCCCCTCTGTGATACATAAACTGTGTAAATACATCTAAATGCTATTTCAGATGCAGATTCCAGAAATGTTTTCTTATGTTGGAATGAAAGACACTAAGTACCAGATGAAGTGCTTCTTATTCTTACCCAAAAATACAAAATGGAAGAAAGAGTTAAAACTGAACACAATCCTGGTACTCAAGCTGTGTATGAACATTTATATATATATTTATTTGCTTCTTTTCCATTTTGCATTTACTTGTACTTTTACTTTCAATACTTAAGTACGTTTAAGATAAAAAAAAAATACTTTTCGTACTTAAGTACAATAAATATCACATACTTTAAGACTTTTACTCAAGTAATATTCTAAACGGTGACTTCAACTTCTACCAAAGTCATTTTCTGGTAAGATATCTGTACTTTTACTTGAGTATGGCTTTCAGGTACTTTATACACCACTGTTAATAAGTTAGAAAGTAAAATCCAAGTCACATTCATCTAAAATTCATAGAGCATGAACGAACATAAGCAGTCTCTAAAAGGTTTGATGAAAACTGCAGGATACTTAAAGCTGCAAATGATCTCTTTTAAATCATTGATAAAGAATTTTAGGTAACATTTCACTTGAAGCCTTTATATATAAAATGTATTAGTGTTTTTGATGCATTAATGTCTTGTAATGCACCTTATAATGCATTGCATGATCTCATAAATAATTGAAAGTTATAATACATTATAATTATTAATTGCTGCACCTTTAGAAAGTATAATGCATTAAAACATGAAAAACAACCCATTTCAAATGTCAAACAAGGATTATGCAAATATCATAATACATTTGAACTTTGGTTGCCGTTATTAATTAAAATATATAATGCATTGCAATGTGCATAATGAATACCTTTATAATCCATAATATGTAAACGTGTTATTTTAGAGAGAGACAGAGTTTAATTTAAAGCAATTATTAAGTAATAATTAAATTATATAATTGAATTAAATAAATTTTTTCCTGTAAATCAACCCAGACACTTACATGTAATCACATATAAAATTGTTTAAATACATTTCATTCAGTAAAAAAAATATCAAACCAAGGGGTTGAAAATAAATATCACAAATACACTCATCAAGCAAAAAAAAAATCACATAAGTATAAGTTAGGTTTTAAATACTTAAAAAAAAAAAATGTTTGGGTTTCTTCGAAATTCATAAATTTTAAGTATGTCCAAATTCTTTTCAGGACCTCTATACAATTTAAAACTGTAAATACTTAAAAAAGAAAAACATCTAAAAACATGTGAAACTGGGAGAAGTGTTTGTGGCTTATTTCCTAGCTGCTACAAGGCAAATGATATAAAGATTGTGTATTTAAGCAATTAAAATAGTTGGTAAAATGATATATTTGACAAATGATATGTTTTGACATTCACTCAGTTTGTCTCATAATTCAGCACAGCAGCGCATGTTTCATCAGAGGTCTAAGTTCTAATGACTGATTGCCATGGTTACCGCACACCTGTTCCATATTTTGATTAATTAGTTACCATTTCAGTTCTGCTTGTCTGAGTCAAGTTTTGCCTGCAGATTTTAATGGAAAGATCTGCAGATTTACATTGATTTAAATGCATGTACATCACAAAATTCTGCACCTCCACCAAACCCTGTGTATATTTTTATTATATAGTTTGGCCTTCAGTTTCCAAAAAGACTGCAGTACTTTAAACATCTTTTACCATAAACAATTCTACAGCATTTTACATATGTAACAATTCATTGTAAAAAAAAAAAAAGAAAAAAAAAGGAGCATAAATTCCAATTGAAAGTGTGGTGGTGACCAGTGTTATTTAGTATCATCTATATACTATTGCAGTCTTGGTAACAGTTTAGAATAAGGAACACATATTCACTATTTTCCCTGAAAAAAAAAAACTCCTAATTTGATGCTTATTAATAGTTAGTTAGGTAGTTGTTAAGTAAATTAGATATGGGGTAGGATTAAGGGATCTAAAATATGGTCATGCAGAATAAGGCATTTTTATGTGCTTTATTTTAACAGCCAATATGTTTGAAAAAGCCACAGCATGACATGAAAACATTAATTAATGTGGACACTTTGTAGCTGATCAACCATGTATTCAATTTTCTTAATTTATTACTTTTTTGCACAGCCACTTATTTGGTTTGGCGAGAAAACAGTACAGAACTGTTTAGAATTTCTAAGGTGATCAGGACATTATAAGAAAAAAAAGTCTAGAAAAATGAACTGATCTCTGACCCTCTTGCTCTGCAGGGGAATAAAGGAGGTGTCAGCGCTCGCATGAATGTGTTTGGTCATTCGATCTGTTTCTTGAACTGTCATCTGCCTGCACACATGGAGAACTCAGACCAGCGCATGGAGGACTTTGAAAGCATCCTGCAGCAGCAGCAGTTTGAAGGACAAGCAGCTACAGGCGTCATGGATCATGAGTAAGACACACACACACACACACGCGCGCTATACAATTAAAGTATAAACACACTATTGTTATTACTGCAACTATATTTAATTCCCATCAGGACCGTAAGAAAGTGTCCCAAAATTCTTTTGCACAATTATTATAATTCATAATTATTTATCTCACCAACAGATGGTGCCGTTGTATTATATCTCCCCCCCCAGGAAAGCATTTCTCAACTGTTTTTGCTTCTGGTCCCAGATTTTATATTGGACATAAAGTTGTGACCCACCCAACTTGTTTTTCTTGCAAAATTAAAATAAAACAACATGCATCTGCAATAAAATATTAATTAATAATATTTTGATATTGCAATGACATGGCTAAATATTTTAATTGTTTCTTGTATGTTGTTCAGTGCTGTTCATGCTTTTCTTGTCACGCAATCTGTCCATGATGGCATATGCATCATTCGTTTTGTTTCTACCAAGAGACCGATTAATTTACTACAAAATACCATACGGTTTGATCACAAGCCAAAAACAAAGAAATTGGGAATTTTATATTCTGGTAAATTAGTGGTCAATTTGTGTCTCCTTTGTATGTTATTGTACCAGCTGCTCACACTCTAATGATGGTTAGATTTACGTTTATCCTGCAAATTGTACATTTTTATATGAAACAAATTATACAAATGCATTTTATTCAACAATGTGTAAGATGTGTTGTTTTCTCATGAGATTGGGTCAGTAGTGTTTGTTATGATTATGTGACCTGCTGCCCAAGGTGATGCAATCCACGATGGAAGTTAATTAAACTAACCTTATGACCTTGAAATTTATATTGAAAACTGTATGATGTGACTTATGGACAAATGTTTGCAGTGTGGTTTTCTGGTTTGGAGACCTGAATTTTCGAATCGAGGACCTGGATATGCAAGTTGTGAAATCAGCCATTGACAATAACAAACTGTCCCCATTATGGGAAAAAGACCAGGTGAGTCCCTCTAAATGTCAAATACCATGTTTTCACAGATAACATTGTCAATATTATGAAAATATTCAGAGCGACTGTTTTGTACAAGGCATTTGGGTGCCCTTTAATTTAGGTCATGATGTTGACAAAACAATGCAATATAAATATGTTTGTTTAATCTGTATATTTCCCTGTGCTAGTATTATTAATATTGACACTAATTGTAGTGTTGTCCTCTTTGATTCTTCTCTCTCTGCGTCTTGCAGCTGAACATGGCTAAAGGCAGTGAGACTGTGCTTGAAGGCTTCCACGAGGGGCCGCTTAAATTCCCTCCTACGTATAAGTTTGATGTGGGTACAGACACGTATGATACCAGGTAAAGAAATTTAATACATTTAGATCAATAAATTCTTCATTTGAAATCATGCTTCTAAACAGATTCAGATGGACTAAAAAGAGTTAAGGACTTGTAAAGGGCTCTTTTTCTTTTCTTTTGACATACATACAGTACACTCACGTAAAGCGATATGTACTATATAGCAAATCTCAGCCTTATTTTTTTAATTTAAAGTGCCCCTATTATGGGTAATGAAAGGTTCATATTTTGGTTTTGGGAGTCCCCAACAACAGGTTGACATACATGCAAGGTCAAAAAACACTTTCATTGTCTTATAATATGCATTTATTTTTACCTTATTTGTTCAACGACTCCCAAACGATTCGCTCAACGTTTATTTTTTTTCGCTCAACGATTTCATTTTCAGTTCAACGAATTCGCTCAACGATTCATTTTCAATCATCTGCGGTGATTGGTCCGATTGGTCGATTTAATTTCCATTTCATAATAAAAGCTGCGTTTGTGAGCCATTGCTGCTTTGTTTACAGCCGTTACCGGGGAAACAGCTGTTTTTACCGCTCCAAAAGCTGCACCTAGTGGCAAAGTCAGACCAACGCAAAAAGACCAACAAGTGGGCGGGCAATATGCTAATGTTTCATGTTGAC